AGGCCTAGCTCTGTGAATGGCGTTACGCAGAGTGTAGCGCCAAAAAAATAAAAATTAATAATGATGCCAGTTATGTCACCTCTAGAGGGGGGAGAGAAGGTGCAACTGTGCACATCACGGAGAAGAAGAGCGCGCCGTTGTGCTCTACGAAGTGAGGGTACATGCCAAATAATTATGGTGTTAATTCTAGCACATTACAGGAGGGGAGCACGGAGGCCCATGCGCCAATGCCGCTGTGACTATGAGGTTAAACTTCCATGCCAAACTGTTACCACCAGGGACGCGACGAGGCATCAGGAACAGAATGGATTTGAGTGACCCGCCTCATATTATATTCAGTGATATTGAAGTAGCAGCAGGGGAAGCTGAGAAAATTCACAACAAATCCCATCCGGTGTTCACATGGGGCTTAGCATCACGAATCTCAATCGCCTCGCGCAGTTTGCGACGGGCTCGATCAGGCTCTCTTCCTATTTGTTGTTGTGTTCTAATGATTCGCCATGCCGCTGTCAATTGTATTCTGTTTGCCCGTAAAAGAGGTCTTTATGAAGCTCTCTTCCTATTACTTCAACTGCAGAGAATGCACTTTGCCCATAGCCTATTGTTGAGCTTGCATCCAGGGTGAGTGGTACGAAAATGTTGGCCCCATGGCTTGTCGAGTTCCTGTCGTCTTGCCTCACCATTATGCTGTCCCCGGGGAAAATTGCGATTCCGCGGCCGCGTTTTTTTCCGCGTTTTTTGCGATTTTTTAAAAGACCGCGTTTTCCGCGATTTTCCCGCGTTTTTTGAACTTTTTTGTTGCACTACACGTACACACAGTGCACTGTTCGGTCAGCAACGTCTCATCGTGGCGGCTTTTTACTCAAATATGACGAGTGCTTACACCAGAGACTTGTAACTGATTGATTTCAGTGATCATTTCACTACATACTCACTGAAAATTGCCGCACATCAATATTGTTCACCGCATATTTACCGCATATTTACCGCAAATTCACCGCAAATTATGCCATATTATAGAGAGGTTAAGTTTCACGTAAAAGTCTTACGTCCGTGAACTTTTACGTCAAAAAGTGAAAAAACTCACGTAAAATTTGACGTGTTTTACGTGAGTTGACTGTCCCGCACGTAAGTTCATGACGTGAGTTTTTGGAAGTTTCGCTTGGTTATTCCGGCCGAATTTGTGTGAGTTTCCGGAATTATATCGAGTTTTATCGAGTTTGTTGGAAGATTTAATATTTGTGCTAACTAAACCCGAATCCTGCCAGGCAAAATTTCACGTCACGTCGCACGTGTAACTTAACCTCTAAAAATTACACGTAACGTGAGATTTGCACCGCGTTTTGAAAAAGGGCAAAAAACGTGTAACTTAACCTCTCTTATGCCGCGTTTTTCCCCGCGTTTTTTGCGATCTTTTCCGCAATTTTCCCCGGGGATTCGGCGGGGACAGATTATGTTCTTCCAGGCGAGTTTCCAGAAAGCGGCCAGTCTCACCAACATTCCGGACATTCTTTGCACTTCAGCTGATACAACATTCTTCTGAATACATCACGTGACATCCTGTCCCCCTATAATTATAATGGCTGCGATTTGGGGTTTTCCCGGTTTCGCGGCTGTCGCATCGCAAAAAAGCTTCTGTGAACGCCCATAATGTTGTGACCTTTCCACAATAATTATTGTGTTGCATTTAAAAAAACAAAAACATTATGTAACATTGTGCGAATAGTACAAATACGCGACGAGTTTGCGTTTTTGGAAGAAACTCATGTCGATCCTCGCGTGGTTCCACGATTTGGGACGCGAGACCAAGAGAAACGTTTTGAAAGCGCTCGAGCGAGATACTCGACTTTTCGGCAATTTATTATTATTTGAGAGAGAAAGAGGGTGGAAAGGCGTCCTGGGCTGCCCAGTTAGCTGTCTTTCCGCTTCAAACTTGCTCGAACTACTCCTGGCAGTCTGGAGATTGATCTGGAAGACGGACTGGATCAATCCAGATCAATCTCCAGACTGCCAGGAGTAGTTGTCCTCCAGTGCAAGCCACCAAGACTGCAGTCCGCAAGGCAACACGGTACCCGCCACCACTGCTCGACACCAAGAAGCTCGGTGACCTTCGGACACGGAAAGCGTCCTGCAAGCTGAACCAGCTGATGACCGGCCACTGTAGTCTTCTGAATGGCTACCTCCACCGCATTGGAGCTGCAGACTCGCCTCACTGTGTCTTCTGCCCTGGCGTCGTCGAGGATGCAATGCACTTCCTTTTCGACTGCCCAGGAAGAGCACAAAGCCGCCACTCTGCAGCTCTTCAGTCGTCTCCATCCGTCAGTCAAGCTGTAGCCGACTCTCCCTACAAAATTGCACGATTCTCGCAGTTGGAGAAACTGCTATGAAGTTTCGAACACAGTCTTGAAACACGATACATGGTGAATTGCTGCTATTATCATGTGAACTCTCATTACTGCGGTATTACCTTCCACATAATCATTAGTCTAGCATGGCGTCATAATATTTGTCTCAATTCAGTGTTTTCCGAAGAATTAAAAAAAAGAAAAAAAAAGAAGATTGATCTCGCCAGTGATTGTCAGCCTAGGCCTAGCGCCTCTGCAGATCTGCTTGGCGTGCTCGCGTGTACAATACAACATTCAAGTTAGACATTTCGTAATCGTTCAACGCACAATAGGGTAGATATCACAATTTCAAGCTGCTGTCTTCTTCTACAATATCCCACATGCCGACTAAGCAATTTACAGCAGGAAGCAGCCTTCTACACTCAACAGCAACTAAAGGGCCACACCATTTGTCTTCCAAATCAAGAGAAAACAGGCTCCTGACTCGTCGCGCGTATTTACTGATATAGAGTTAGTTCACGCGCGTATTCTAATGACACTTGGGGAAGACAACCAGAGGATAGTCCTCTACCTGGGAAAAAAATCGGGGAGGGCTTCTCGGAGCCGAGTTTGTCAGCGACGACACAAGGAGTATTTCAGAACGAACCCAAAGTCGCACGACACAGAACCAAGAGTACATAACCATGACAACCCCCTTGACAGAACAAAATGTTTCTTGAACTATTATACTACTTGGCTGAGGAGAGGTACGATCAAGAGTACATAACCAGTACTCTTTTTTTTTCTTTCTTTTTTCAAACTTTTTTTTTTTTTTTTAAATTTCACTGAGCCTCTTATACGGGCAAAATAACACATTTTGTGAAGAATCAACACATAAAACGAATCATCAGATACAGTATTTACAGAGTCTGTCACTCAGTAGGATCACTGCACTGTGCAGGTTCACTGGATGCGTGCCTCCGCCGCCACTAGCACAGCAGGGGACTCAGGCATGGCAGGAGCAAACATGCTCCTTGAGCCACGCAGGCACATAGCACCACAACGCACCAGGGCAAACCCAAGGCGGCAGCGCAGCAAGGAGATAACCTGCCCGTATGGCTCCTTACTCTTCTCAGCCAGGAGAGAGGCGATCCGCGTGAAAAGAGCATTGGCATGCTTGCCATAGCCACCAGAGGCAGAGAGCACAACGGGCACGAAGGAGGCATGCTCAACTTCACGTACTCGCTCCTCGTACTTCCGGCGCTTTTCCTGTTCATGGCGTCTGTAGCTAGCAGCGAGGGAGGTGGCACGATTCGAAGACGCAAAAGGGTTGAACACCCGTACATCAATAAAGATGCGCTCGAATCGGCCACCCCACACACCACTAGCCGCAACGTCCAGCCGAGCTTGCTCCTCCGTGACAGCTGTGCGATGGCGGAAGGCCTCTCCGGTGACGGGCTGGAGGTGGGGTTCCACTGTCACGTTGTGAGCGACCTGCCTTAGAGCTCTGGCGGTGATGTCCCTCACCTCGTTGTGTCGCAGCGTCGGGAAGCCACCAAACGGGCACGACAGGGCGTGACTCACATTCAGCGGCTTACTGCACACGCAGAGGCTTGGGAGCCGAGGAGGTGTCCAGCCGTACCGGAGGCACAGGCCATCCCGGAAATCTCCCTTGCTGAGTGTGAAACCATGGCGGCTGAGGGGGCGGCAGGTCAGCCAGCTGGATGCACCCTTTTCTGAGGCCAGGTCGAGAACAGGGGCCAGCTCCCGGTGATCCGAGCGAAGAGCGTCAGCCATAGACTTGAACGCGCTCCGCTTCTCGGCCTGAACCGTCGCCTTGACCGTCCGGAGCTGAGTCAGAGAGTCGCCAAGAGACGACTCCTGCTCCAGCAGGCGAGACACGAGGCTAGCCGTGATCCTTCGGGAGGAGGTGTACTGTTCAGCCACTGAACAAGGGTCTGCCATACCCAGTCCCCCAAGCCGGCAAGGCAGAGAGAGTAGGGAGCGAACAGTTGTCCCAGGTGGAGCCTGACCCGTGATGGCCGGGATGAGCCGACCGCTGATTGCGTGTTCCAGCGGTTCAAGCAGGGATGGCGGGATGGAGGAGGTCCGGCAGAGGAACCAGTACTCTTGGTACGATGGTACGAGCCAGGGAGTAGTAAAATACGTATTTTACTACTCCCTGGTACGAGCGGAAAGCTTGAAACAAGACGCAGCTGATCAGCGTGTTCCCCGGGCTGTCCGGGCTGACTAGTCTCCAAAATCCAGGGGAAACCATGGCCTACTCGTGTTCTGACGATTTGAAAATTCAAATTTTCTTGCCATTATTGAAGCCAGGGCCTAGGCTAGGGATCGGGGACGTCCGGACGTACCCGGACGGGGAGTCGTAAAAATATTAAAATAATTTACTACGACTCCCTGATTGAAGCCAGGGCTAGGGAGTCGTAAAATACCGCCTGATTGAAGCCCGATATTGCATAATTATAATAATTATGAGACTTTCGGCGGCCATAATTATATAAGTTACTTATAAGCGTGAAATCGCACAAAAAAACAGCCGTGCGCATGCGCGCGACTTGATCTGGACCCGTACCCGTCTGGCTTTTCGCGCGCTGCACTGGTGCACGTGTAGGTCAGCATGCAGCCGAGTACGCACGTGTGCATGCAGTAGTCATTGCACAACAACAATTATTATGCTAGTTATTCATAATTCTAGTCAGGCTACATAGTCATTACATGTGCAGCAAGTGAGCTAGCTCAGGACGTATGCCATAACAGTATCCAGGTAACCTCGCATTGGGGCATCACCAATCAGCTCGTAGATTTCGTGTTCGATACGCTGCTATTACCTCAGAAATGAGCGTCGCATTCCGCAGCCTTCAAAGAGGCCAACTTGCAGCTCTGCAGCTACGATGCATGGCGCAAGCAGCCAAACCGATTTCGGAATCGAAGAGTCCCAGCGCTTCGGGCATGACTAATGAGTAAGTCTGTCCTCCGCACACGAGCTGTGGGTATTATAACAAGACAGTGCTCATTGACGAGCTCATTAATTGTATGAATGAGCCAAACAACTAATAAAATTATTAATAAAATAGTGTGTTGCCCGGGTAACCATGGTAACATCACCGAAGATTATGGCTCACTAGTATGAAGAGTACATAACCCCCCAGAGTGTGCAACGCCTGATCCAGCTCTGCAAAGGGTCTTGGTTGAGCGTAATCGGATCTTTGCGTCATAAATGCCGTACACATCTGAGGGGAACCCGGGGAGTCGCGGGTACTCTCGGATCAAAAACAACGGTGTCCTGCCTCGAGACCGGCCTTGCGCTGGTGTGGAGTGTAAGCATGACATCAGAAGATCCGATTATGCTGGATCAGGTGTTGCACACTCTGGGGGGGGGGGGGTTATGTACGCTTGCTAGTATGGGGTCGGGCGGATTACTATTTTGTTGCTAACTTTTTCCATATACATGTAATTACCATGGTATTAGATAAAGCAATGAATAAAACTATATGTGCACTCATATGACAACCATAGTGACGAATAAAGTATTCCAGAACGTTTTCTTGTGACAATTATCAATGGAATTCGTGACAAGAAAACGTTCTGGAATACTTTATTCGTCACTATGGATAGTATGGTTGTGATATGTGTGCACATAGTTTTATTCATTGCATTATTTTAAATACTATTGTCTCCACGTCGCCTTTTTACGTATTAGATAAACCTTGTTTTAGTTTGCACATGTTGTTGTTTTTACAGCATGAAACAAGGTGGATGGTTGTAGAACGGTCACTGTTTCCCAACACTGTTTCCCAACACTGTTTCCCAACACTGTTTCCCAACACTGTGTCCTCCACCTTGTTACATGCTGTCAAACCCACACAGCATGTAATTACCAGTACAGTAGTCATAGTGTACTATAGGCGGAGGACGAACTGTGTTGAAAACAGTGCTCCTGACTACAACCATGCATAATGAAGGTCCCAACCGAGGCTAGACTAGACCCCGTACGTTTCAAATGGTCGCAAGACCGGGGCTCTGTCAACTGATGATGGTTGTAGTAAGAAGCACTGTTTTCAACACGGTGCGTCCTCCGCCTTATAACATGCTGTTAAAGGGGAAGTATACCCTAAAATCAAATTTTCACCAGTTGTAGTCTTCGGGGTGCTGAGTCGAATGGTCTTGGTCCGAGGAAGCTGAGACGCTCCCTTTCTCCTTTATTCCCAATCGAACTCGCGCACTTCCACCGAAACTGGGTGACTGCGTCCTACTAGATAGGGATTTGTATGGAAAAGTCACTAAAAACGCCGTTTCGTTCTTATAAAAGCGCGGATGACCGCGATTGGTCCATATGTTGTAGTCTTTTGGCCCCTGAGTCGACTGGTTTTGGTCCGAAAAGGCTGCGATGCAGCATTCGGCCCTTATTCCCAATCTAACGCGGTTGAGTAAGCGGTCACGTGCTCATTTACAGCCTGTTTGGGCCCGTTTATGTCACTCGAGTTGAACCTTTGAACCAGGGAGTCGTAAAAGCCTCTTACGACTCCCTACTTTGAACCTTTGAGTTGAGTCTTGATGTGAAAAATGTACTCTGCAGGCACGTGACCGCTCACTCAACCGTATTCGATTGGGAATAAGGGCCGAACGCTGCATCGCAGCCTTTTCGGACCAACACCAGTCGACTCAGCGGCCACAAGACTACAACATATGGACCAATCGCGGTCATCCGTGCTTTTATAAGAACGAAACGGCGTTTTTAGTGACTTTTTCCATACAAATCCCTATCTAGTAGGGCGCAGTCACCCAGTTTCGGTGGAAGTGCGCGAGTTCGATTGGGAATAAAGGAGGAAGGGAGCGTCTCAGCGTCCTCGGACCAAGACCATTCGACTCAGCACCACGAAGACTACAACTGGTGAAAATTTGATTTTAGGGTATACTTCCCCTTTAACCGATCAACATGTTAATCTATCAAACAAGGCTTACTCAATCTGCAGACAGAACTGTTTCGTCCTTTGTGGACTCATCAGCGCAGCACAGAGAAAATCTGTCCCCGGGGATTCCGCGGCCGCGTTTTTTCCGCGTTTTTTTGCGATTTTTTAAGACCGCGTTTTCCGCGATTTTCCCCGCGTTTTTTGAACTTTTTTGTTGCACTACACGTACACACAGTGCACTGTTC